TTCTCCTTGGAGACACTAGACAAGATGTAATTCAGACACTAATTGATCTAATAAAGGCTAGTAAGCAGATGGGTCTGTCACTTAACCAAGAAAAAACCAAATACATGTTTTTATCAAGGAAGACGAAAAGCGAAGAGGACATGAAAAACTTGGAAGTGGATGGTCTCACCTTTCAACAAGTTAGCTTGTTTTAAATATCTAGGCGTTAATGTAAATAATACAAATTGCATGCACGAAGAAATTAAGCTACGCCTACAGTCTGCTAACAAAGCATACTTTGCTATGTTGCCATTGTTTAAATCTAAGTTACTATCTAGAAAAACCAAAGAGAAACTGTACACAACATATCTAAGACCAATTGCTATTTATGGTTGTAATACATGGGCCACAACTGGAGGGGACTACAAAAAGCTCCTCGTCATTGAGAGAACAATTTTGAGAAAAATTTATGGACCTATTTTCGATAACAAGGAGCAAAAATGGCTAAGGAGGTCAAATGAGGATTTGAAGAATCTATATTCAAAAGAGGACATAGTGCAGTTCGTAAGGAGTTCAAGACTTGCTTGGACTGAGCATGCGTGGAGAGCTGATGAGTCCTTTATAAAGATGGTTATGGTGAATCAAATAGATCTGAAAAGACCAAGGGGACGCCAAAGGAAAATATGGCTAGATGCAGTTAGAAGAGATATAGAGGAGTTAAAGCTGGATTGGAATGGAAACTTAGATCTAGCCTACGCAAGAGATATTTGGGGAAAACTGGTGTTAGAAGCAAAGAGCCTAAATGGCTCGTAAAAGCTAAAAAAAAAAAAATTAGACAACATTATACAATACTACTCGTATATTTAACTATCATCTATCACAGTATTACTGAGTAAATAAACATGATCGTCATTTTTAGGATAGGTAATACTAAAATGTACCAAACAGAAAAATGTATACAATATAATATGATTCATATTATTATTCTTATGCTTCTAGCAAGGACGTATTTTAGGAGGGCGAAGGGGACAATCGCCTCCCCTGAATCCGTATTTAAGGAATCGATTATTTGTGAGAAGCACATTTAAAATTATTTTTAATGTGTATCGTTTTATAACGAAATCGTATTAGTTAACAATTTTGATTTTCTACAAAAATGTGTGTCATAAAATACGAATGAGTGAAAAGAAAAATTACAGAAAAACATATTGAAATATAGTAATTGAAGGCGAACGGACGCGTATAATGATGTATGTATTATATTTTATCAGTATCAGTACCAATGATCCGTGGTAACATCACGGTCAATGTTGAATGTAATGAATTGGGTTTTTTGTCGAGTCCATACTCAGTGAAAAATTGAATAAAACACAAACGTAACTTTCAAAACACATACAGGTGTTAAGAAAGAACTACACAAATTCGATTGTAATTGGATTCGGTATTAGGTAAAAAAAAAAAAAACCACATATATCAAGGATTCGCCTGATTTAAAAACTACCAAAAATTTTACTTGTAAATTTTGAGCCTCAATTGAAGAAAAAATTTGAGTCGTTCCGCCCCTCTCTCCCCATAAAAGTAAGTCTAAATACACCCCTGGTTTCAGGGCTGACGAAAAGCCTTTTGTCACCATATTGTCACATATTGATCTATGTTTAACATCTTCGAGTGGTATTTAGTAAATAAAACCATCAAGGAAAGACCCCCATTTTTTTTTTAAGTGATTATGCACAAATATGGTTGGCGTCCTAGAAATATATTTTTCTTATGCTCCTTAGAGGTGGTTAGTTCGGGCGTGGTACCTTATCTAGTCTTATCATAGAAATATGTGTTCACATTGAACAGCCTCCTCCATCATACTCTGTATTCTAGCCAAGTAATAAAAAAAAAAAATTCTCATACATATTGATCTGAACACTAATTAAATGAAAAAAATAGTTACTATAAAAATAAATATAACTGTGCCTACTTGTTATTAATTTCCATTAAATCTCACATGAAATAAATTTCTTGTATTATCTAAAATCTAATATAATATCTAAATATGATATCAATAATGGCACTTCCTCCATATCACGTCCAACTTATAAACACGCGTGTGTTCGCTTATGTTCCAGGTGTCAACGTGGACAACGTTTGTATTAAGTAAAATTAAACAGAGATTTTTACTCTCGTCACGGTCCGTGTTCCGAGAGTCTAAAATCGCCATGAGCAAGTTTGACACGAAGCCCTAGCCTTGCGACGTATTGGGAAAACGAATCAATATCGTCGTTAACAGGTACGTCAAAGATGTGTTCATTGTTTTTACACTTATGTAAAACAACTCTTCTATAAATATCACTGATGTTTTCACAAAAAGAGCAACATTTTATATTTTAAATGCATATTTGAACCATAGTTTGGTTTAACAAAATTGTATTTATTTTAAAAAGCTTCTCATTCGAATGTTATTATTTTCATAGCGTTTAATTTCAAAAGACCGATAGGTACTTCAAAACCGATTCAAAAGACAAATAGGTATTTAATGTCCCTGCAGGGACGCCGGAACCCGGGGGGGGGCAAAAGGGGCAGGTGTCTCCGGATTTTTTTGTGGAGGGGCAAAGAGTATATTTCGCCCCTCCAAATATAGGTACGAACTTAGTTGATACTTTATGTGGAACAGCTTGGAGAAGAATTTGGATTGGGTATATATAATATTTTCGGTAATAATAATAATCTATTATGACTAAAATCATAGATTAAATTAATTAAATATACCATGGGATTATCTGTTAACACAGTATTTCTGTCTATTAGTGAAAAATGGATTTGAAGATAAGACTACAGTGCCATACAGAATCTGTCCTCATCCGTCCGAGCTATTTAAAAAAAAAGAACAAATGTTAAAAGCAAACGTGTTATCAACATTAATATTTCTATTTTATTACAATTTACACTTATGCACCTTGTCTATTTTCGACAAAAGTATTGTTTCTATCAGTGGCTTATTTATGGGGGGGGCCGAGGGGGCCCGGACCCCCTCCGAAATGAAAAACACCATTGTTAAAGATTGTTATTTTTAACATGGATATGTCTTAATGCTGGGGGTTTCTGAAAATTTGTCGCGACACTGAGAATGTTGCTTATGCGATAATTTAAAATTTTATATTTATAAAATATGTTTGTTCTTTTAAGAAAATATGTGGTGAATTTTGAGTGACTCTAATAAAAAATTTGTTTATTACAATGTAGTTTTTATACTTTTAAAAAATAATAAATCATTAAAAAAATTGAATTTCTTATTTTTCTGATGGTATAAAGATTGTCGAGAAGTCTTATAGTGCTAAAGTAATTTTTTTCGTAATATTGTGCTTCCTCCTTCCTTTCCATCCAAAAATCAAATACATAATCGGCCCCCTCCGAAATGAAAACCTATATACGCCACTGGTTTCTATAGTATTGATACTGTCGTGTGTAGTGCGTACAGCTTATGCCTAGTCAGTAGTCCTTATTGCGTAATATTATTGTCATTATGATACGTGGTTCTTAGTTGCATGTCTTTTTGACTGATTTTAAATTACTGATTTATTTACAACTACCTATTTATAAGGTTGATGAGTAATTTAAAATAACTTGAATTGTTATTTTATCCTACCAGGAAAACTATAACTGTTGTCATGAAAAAAATTTTTAAATTAGTATGATAGTAGTGGTCGATTAGAGGCTACTCTCAGTTTACCCCCCCCCCCCCAAATATATTATATTCCAGCGTCTCTATGTCTTTGTTATAAAATCCAAATTGTCAGCTGGAATTTATTCATTAAATAGATTGTTATACTATGTAGTAATAGTCGAACTAAGAACACCATTCAAAGATATATATATCAATGCACACATTTTCAATGATTCTTATACACAAATAAATGTTGTCAATTACCACCCAAATACGTCAAATGTGCGGGTGACCAACGTCAGGGTCAGAAAATAATAATAATAATAAAAAGAAGTCTCTCAAAAATATGTTGGCCGCGAAAGCATTCGTCCAGTTGGTTACAGAAGATGCAAATTTTATAGAGATAACTAAAAACATTTATAAAAATTAAATTACCACCACCGACAAGAATTATTTTAATCCAGAACATGAACCAAATATACTAAATATACATATCAACAAAGATAATACCAAAAAGCTTAACAAATATGCCTCTTCATGTAACAAAAATAAACTTACCAACAATTTGGAAAACGATAATAATTTCATGAAATCATACCTACCCCTTATAAGCACATTTGTAACAACTTGGCTGCCATGAGACCCAATTTGGGGTCTCACAAACTTTTACGTGGCTGCCACAAGTTTTTACAGCAAACTTTTCAAAAATGATATGGTACTTTACTTTATTATTTGATATTGAAATTTTACAGTTATTTTAGTGACATAAAATAAAAGAGTTTAGACAGGGTTTTGGATTTTTAGGACGTGAGATCTCATATTGAGTCTCATGGCACTGGGGATTGATTTTTTGATTGTTTTGAAAATAACCATCTTACTGAGATTCAATATGAGATCTCAAAAACTTTTTTTTATTTTAACTGAGATTCCATTACAGATCTCAAAAATATTATTTTTATATAGAACCATTTGCTATCATAAATGTAAATAAATATAGTTGTATAAAATTTGAATTTTCTGTATATACTATATAATTAAGAATTAACCTGATTAGGTATTCATATAAAAAGATAATTTTCAATGCAGTCTTTATATTTGTAATTATCACATTAGTAAACTTACACATGTATCTTATAAATAATAATATAATGAATCATAACAGTTAATATAATTATTATTTTTATATAGAGCATAAGAAACAATATAAAAAAAAATATCAACTTTTTCATAATAAAATATTTTACAATAAAAGAAAATAACAATTTTAACAAAATTAACTAACAAGTAATATTTAAAAAAAAATGGTTCATTACAGTCTTTGAATGAAATAATATAACATAACAAAATTATAAAATAATAATAAAAATAATTATTTTAAAGCACAACGGTGTGTATCGTTAAAACAACTCAGACATAAGTACTTGTTACAGGGAATGCACTTTGTTTTAACTTTTAAAGAATGTGATTGAGCAAATTTTCTACCTTTATCAGCTGATGTCTTGATGTAACATTTATAACATCTACCTCGATTGACTGGGACTAATTCATGTTTTTCAGCCAGTGGACTGTGTACAATTTCATTTTTTTTTATTAAACTTTCTACTAAACAATAACGAAAATGTGTTATTGACATTTTACTTTCAGTGACAATATTGAAGATGTATGAAGCATTGACTACACTGACATTTAAAAGTATGTCTACTAAAACTTTTCGATACCATTTTAATGACCTACGCAGAGGATTTCCGTATGATGCTTTCTGATCTGCAAGATCTATTGAAGCTTTTCCTTTGTTATATTCAATAACTGTAACTGGTTTTTTGTGCAACATTACGACTTCTTACATCAACCATTGTATTAGTAGTCTTAGTACTGCACATGAGAAGCTCCCTCTTGTCTCTCCATTTTAAAACCATAACATTGGTATTGCTGCGTATACTACACACTTCACCTTTTTTTTAACTTCCTTTTAACTATTTCTTTTGGGTTTGATCTTCTGTTACTTCTTAATGTTCCAATAAGGTATGTGTTTTGTTCTCCAAGTTGCTCTGCAAGTTCTATACTTGGGTACCAGTTATCAACGATCATAGTTCTACCAAAATTTAAAAAAGGTTCAGCTAGTTCCAACACAATATTTGTACCAACACTTCCATGAGGTGCAGCTTCTTTACCAGCATATACTTTAATGCAAATTGTATAATTCGGAGGTATGCAGAGCTTAAATAATTTTATTCCATACTTGTGGCGTTTATTTTTATTGAATTGCTTAAAAAGTAATCTTCCAGTGAATGGTATAACAGATTCATCTATACACATCACCTCTGAAGGAGTCATACAATTATTAGAATTAATCATTACATGATCTGTTATAGTCCCTAGTTTATATAAACGATTGTTTTTGTCAGCTGTTTCATTATTTGAATAATGAATCATTGATGTTAGTAATTGAAAACGATTCCTGCTTATTATATTACGAAATGAAGTTGTAAATAATGTTGTGTTACTCCAATACATTTCAATTTCTCTCATTTCCACCAAGTTAAAATTAAATGACGGAAAAAAATGAACAGTATAACTACATTGTAGAGTCATTAAAATTTGTAACGATTGATATTAAGCTGGGTCCACACCAAACGCGCCTCTGCGCGCAACGTTGCTGTAACATAGCTGCAGCATTTTATCGCCTGCAACATTCTCGCGAGGACAGGCGTCCATACTGAGCGTAGAAATGTATGTTGTAACATGATCATATGTTTTCCGATTTTCGTCAATGTGTTTGTGCCGTTCAAAAAGTGCAATTGTCCGCTATTTCGTTTTCAATTTTTTTTATAAATTATCTTTGACTAGTAAAATGTCCGATCAAGTCACTAGTGCTGCGTTTATTGTTTTATATAGTCTACTTAAAAAAAAACAGAAAGTAAAAACCGTAAACGACGCCGATTTTGGGAGACTCCTGTTTTACAGAGTAGACAAATTTATAGTGGTACACAATTATTAGCTGATTTTACAGGTCATAACACGGGTCATTTTAAAAACTTGTTGGATAACTCTGTCTTGATCCCAAGTATTTTCTGAATTGCAGCTCATGATTAATTAATAACCTTTTTTTTTTTATTTATTAATTATTTCTATTTGTTTGTTATAATTATTATTAAAATAACACACAATTCCGTATTCACCGTAGCAGCAATAATACAACACTGACAATTTCTCGTCCAAACCAGATAAGCAAAACGCGCCGAACACCGCGCATTTCCCATATCAACCCGAACAAACGCGCAACATGCATGAACATGCTTGTTCGTGCGTGGACTAGATCCATACCAAAAGCGCCGAACATGGTAGCAACATAGCAAAACGTTTTGCGCATTTGGTGTGGACCCGGCTTTATAGATAATCGATTTTTCCTTGAAACCGCGTGTACGGAACTCGGAGAGATAGCTTTTTTTATTTAATATTGTCTTGTTGATATAAACGTCGACACATCCATCAAGCATAGAGATTTGCACTGAGTTTCTTCATTTGTAATTTTCATGTTGTGCATATAAGTTATAAGTAAGGCTGGTATTGAAAACACCATAAACCTTCGAAAAATGCTCTAGAAAATAATTATCAGTCTTGTAAAGAATACTTTTATTTTGTATTCAGAATATATATTCGAATACTTAAAAAATGTATTCGGGTACTTAAAGTATTCGAATATTTATAAAATATTTTTTTTTTGCCAATTTATGTTAATTTTGGAATAGTTTGAAAGTTAATGTTTGATGGAAAATTTTACTATACAATGCATAAAGTAAATGAACAAATAAATACTAAATATTACATATTACATATATCAGTTAATATTTAATATACCAAATATTCATATATAGTTATTATTGAATTGTGAATACCAATTGTATTCAAAAAATGCACGTTTTCATTTAAATTTCCCTTGATTTTAATATTTTTATTAATAAAATATTAAAATACACCGCACATTATATTAAGTAAATACATACAGACTATAGTACACCATAATTCCAATGTAATCTTTTATATACCTACATAATTTAAAAATAATGATATCCATTAGAAAAATGTATTTATTTATTTATTTTATTAAGAAAATTTTTTTTTGAAGAGAAAAACTATGGTTCATAATTTATTATATACTGTATTAAATCTACGATTTAAAATTTAAAAATTGCAATATTGTCCCAAGTTTGAAACAATTTTATAAGTTCAGATAAAAGTATTTTTATAGTGAATAAAAAATACAAAAAAAAAGTATTCAAATACTTTTATTTGAATACTTTACAAGACTAATAGTGCCCTTAAAAAAAATTATTTTACCGCAAAAACGACCTATAAAAATTATTTTATCAAATTAATTATTTTATTAAGCACCTCATTTATAATTTACATTTACATTAACGATAAAAAAAAAAAAATTAATTTGAATAATGTTGATGTATATCCGTCAATGTTGACAAAAATTATCTTTACAAAATATTAATAAATAAATAAAATTAAAATTTTTAAGCTGTATATGATGTACAATAATTGATAATTATTATCTATTAAAACAAAATGAACGGAAAACGTTTAAAAAAATGGTCTAAAAATGAATTAATAACGAAAGATGCATAATAATATTATCATCGTTAAAATATATATAACAAGCAGTAAATAATGTACTTGGAAAACAATGTTTAAGATCTCCCAAAGGAAGATGTATTAAAGTGGGCACTGTTGCACTTACACCACTACCATATTCTCTCGGTGTAATACATTTTTATCCCAATCGCGAAGTCAATTGAAATGTCCTCAATTTTGCATAATTAAACGTATCGTGTTCAAGGCCGATTAGCTGAAGCTCGTGAGATCGCCAGTTGGAACTGAATCATTGCGGGCTATTACCGCCGAAATCCCGTTTGAATTTTGAACTGAAAATTTCGGAATAGTAAATTATAACTTTAATCAGGTGCGTTTTTATTTTCGTGTTGTTTTTTATGCTCGTACCTATGTGTACAAACAATAGTGTATAAGCAATAAAAATACTGGTTTCCATTTGACTATGTCAACCCTACTCATTAGTTCGTCAGCTAATGGCTAACCCGGCTTGGTTAGGTTACTCAACGGTTTTTTTAAATCATAATTAAAATTAACAATTTATAATTTTAACACGTATCTCAGGCGTCCCACTCCTCCTATGATTCTTTTATTATTATTACAGATCTTTATCGAGACAAAATACTAAATACTGTTTATTTCGTCTTTGTTTTTTTCATCTTTTTTAAATTTACTTTTTTCTTTTTTAATTGACTTTACTTTTATAAATTTTATAATACGATTTTTTTTAAATTATACCGAAATAATTGCCTTTCGTTGAGTCCTCGTGCAATTAATTACTAGTCAACCAAGTTGATTAAAAAAAATAAAATATAAAAAAATTCCACTTCAAAACAAGGAAAAAAGTCTACTCGCGGTCGTATATCTAATAAATTGTAAAGGAACCGGGAACGCCTCTGTTTTCGATGAACTACGGTTTGTGTTAAATTTTTTTACATTTACAGAATGTAGTTAGTTACGAGTTGGACAGTGTTGGCTGGTCATTTACCTTTTTATTAAATTATTGCTCGTCGTGGAATCTGTTCAATCATATCGCTGCGAATACATAATCTTAACCCATTCTAAATTGTTATTTCTTATTAACAATAAGCTATTTTAAATGTATAATTATTTCTTTTGTTAAATAATAAATATTTATAATTTTTATAAGATTTAGAATACAAGTATTTGATTATTTTAAATACCCATCTTTCGTACAACGACCTCAAGTTAACGAAAAAACGTGTTACATTGTTTAAATAAATAATTACGTGTGCACAGTGTCATGCACAACAATCTCTACACGCACATTTTGGTATAACGTTTCTATAAAACAATATAAAAATAACTTCGTTTATCATTTTTAATTTATATTCGAAAAGTAACAATATATAAATATATTCATAATATTATCTATAGTTTATATAAATGGTTTCATAAATTATTTTTGAATCAGCTTTATCGGAACGTCCGAAATTCTTAACTTGATATCGATATTTGGATAAGTGTGAAAAGTCAAACAATATATAATTTTATAAATTAGTGATCACACAATAATTTTATAGGACAGAAAATTGTATAAATATTTGAACCAGTATATTCATTATTTAAATTACATTGTTTATTTTACGACGTGTTTTTACGTTTTTATAGGCTGACATAGTGATATAAGTTATTCCAAATTATACAAATAGCATTTAAAATACATTAATAATATTATAAATATTAGAGGTATAAAACCAGTTTGAAATTTATAAATATTAAGAAATGTTGTATCATAAATTACATTTCATTTACCACTATCGTGAAATCAATACTGTTTATTATTATCATAAATTCTGAAGTAGAATTACTTCATTTATGGGTAAAATGTTATTAACTTGTCAAAAAAAATAATAAAACGAATGTAATTTAAATTTAAATTCGATTAGTTATTATTATACGAAACCGATTAAATCAATTTGGATTCCAGTACCTAAGATGTAAAGTAGGTAATAAGTACTCGATTATTAAAATGATTTGTATATATTTGTACATCACCGGATTCTCGGCCTTTGCGGTCATTTGCTATCTCGTCTCTGCAGACTTTTATTTATCGTGTTCTGAAGCGACTATATACCTACTGCGAACCTGGGGCGGCTCATTAGGGGAGACTTTGAGAATGCGTTGAAAAAAAAACAGCTATTTGGAAATAATAAATAAATAATTAAAATATAATAAATAGTTAATAAATGACTATTTAAAAATAAAAATGTATAGAAATATTTTTATTTAAATTGAAAATATGTAATATCGTTTTCATTGTTTATTATTACAAATTGAAGGCCACAATCTATAAATAGTTATTTCCGAGGAAATATTATTGTAGTCATTTCGACGACGGTCGCCGTTTCAGTGAAACTGACGCCCGACAAGTTCTATCGTAACATGTTTTGGTTTGTTGGACGAAGAGGGCTGAGGAGAGGACAATAATTTCCGTATTACCGCTCCGTCATTAATCGCCCTACGCCGTCATTTGCGTTTATCTGCGAGTTCGCAGATAAAAAAAATCGCAGAACTGAACAAGTTTATTAATCGATTTAGTATTAAATTAAGTTAAAAATACTAACCAAATATTAAATATAAAGTGTTAAGTATAATTAATAAAATAGTATAATATAATTTTCCAACAATAGGCTATTTCTTATTCGTGGTCGTATAGAATTTATAGATAGATAGTATGGAGTTTTAGATTTAAGTCTTGGAATATTTACGCGCTATTACCGCTAATCGCGATTTTATCAATAGTTCACATACGGTTAACAGTACAACACGATCACATGGACTCCTCCAACCAGTTTACAATAATTACGGATAATAAAAGGTAATAATTGATCAAGAGTGTCATAACCGGTATGTGTTTCATACTACTATATCTACCATACCGTATTATACGATGACATCTGGACGGTGTTTCCTCTATATACAGTCATCGGGAATTAGCGTCCGAGAGAGGCTATTAAGATTTTAATGTGTTATTGTTGAAGTTCGACATGTCATCGTGTCTATATAGCATCAAAGGAGTGATGATTACCGGCGTGGTATACGGTTGTACGGGTAACATTCGAGTTATCTTATGTTTCTCCGCGCGCACTTCCGTTACGTTCGTCAAGTTTGTAGTAGTCAGTTTTTTAACACTTTAACCGCCATATGCCAGCCGGCGGTCATACTGCAATGTTCAAATTCTATACTTTTATGCCCACCGGCGTCCATAGTTGATCATTACTACCACGCCACATGACCCGCCGGTGACCATAAATTCATATTTGAACAAATGCTTATGGTTTTTGTGGCGTTACGATAATGCATTTTTTAAACAGTACCATGGCGTAGAGAAGAATATAACAAATATTTTGGTATAAAAAAAAACACAACATTTTTTTAATTTTTAATTTAAATTTGTTATAATAAACATATCATTTGCATAGTTAAATTTGGAAATAAATTGGTGCTTATGAAACATTGACACAACTAAAATACTGACATTTTTTATAACTTGTTAATGTTTATTTTATGGTAACTAAATAAAATAATGTTATTACAAAAGTAGTTTAGTTATTATTAAAAAGTATCATAAAAATATGTTTAAAAACGAATAATTGTCGCTTAGCTGATAAATTAAACACAATTTAATTTTAGTACCTTATTGTTGATCTCAAGAATTTTAAATTATATAAAATGAAAATAATAATTTTATCTAATAATTAATTTGTATGATTTTTATTAAAACAATCAATGCATGTATACATTTTACATGTTGAACAAAGCGTATTTACCTTTTTGGTTTCAAGTGCAGCTGATTTTGAACCTAAAGCTGTGGTTTTATGTGAGTAGCAGTGTAAGCATCTTTTTCTAATTTTCCTGTTCCTGTTGTCCCTTTCTACAGATTCTTCAAAAACATGTTTGACTCTTTTACGTTTATTATTTGAAGTTGACGGCTCTTCAGATATGTTGGTTAAGTGATCTAATTCTAACAGTTCATCTACTAACATTTCTCGAAATTTTGTAATAGAAATTTTTTCGTTTGGAAGTTTCTTCATATTATACACAATAAAAGCATTGACCACCGATGTACTTAATAAAATTTCAGTGGCCACTTTATGGTACCATCGTATTGATTTACGTATCGGAGAACTATAACTTGATATTTGGTCGGATAAGTCTATCCCTGTCTTTCCAGAGTTGTAGTCTATAATTATTTGTGGTTTTAAAATCGGTTCATTATTTCGATTCTTTTTGCCTGTATCGATAATTTCAATACCGTGTTTGGTAGACAACATCGCAACATCTCGTTTGTCGTGCCATTTCGCCACTACCACCCCATCTGTACTTTCTTTTCCAATTATTTGTCCATTTTTCAATTTTGTTTTTAACACTTCAGGTAACTTCACATGATTTGTTCTCAATGTTCCTACCAGATGTGTGTTGTTCTTCAATAATTCACGAGCCAGTGGCATGGATGTATAAAAGTTATCTGTAACTACAGTGCGTCCTACATTTAAATAAGGTCTAATTAACTCCATTACAACTCTAAATGCTAGACTTTTACCATCTACCTGGTTCTTACCAGCATATACTTGTAAATCATATGTATATCCATTTTTGTCACATATTTTAAATAGTTTCACTCCATATTTATGAGCCTTCCCAGGTATGTATTGTTTGAATTTCAAACGACCACGGAATGGAACCATTGACTCATCTATTGCTAAGTACTCATCTGGTTCCATGACATTTTTATAATTTTTTACAACACGTTCTAGCAAATCATGAACTTCATAGATACGATCATTGTCAGGGGTTTCCTCGTTATCCGCAAAGCGCCAAAATCTTAAGAGTAATTCAAATCGATTTCGGGACATTATTTTAGGAGCAACGTTATTTTTGTATCTAATTTTGGTACTCCAATAGCTCTTTAAACTCGGCATTTGAACTAAACCAAACCATAAGAGTAAGCCCATAAACTTTTCAATTTCATCGACAGTTGTTGGTGACCATTTAGAGAATCTACTTGACTTGGTTAGCCTGCTCTTTGAAAGAAACTGTTCAGCGTTACGATTAGTTTCAACTACCATAAGCTCAAAAATATCTGTACTACAGAATAACTTGAAATAATTTAAAGCTGAGGAATTATCAGGAATATCAATTTTGAAACCCGGAGTCTTATTGAAGATAAGTGGTTTTTGGTATGTTCCTGATACATCAAACCAAACTGTAGCAAATGCATTATGATTATTTTCAATATTGGAATCCTGATTATTCTCTAAAATTTAAAATAATATTTCAACTAGATTAAAATATTTGATTTAAAATTATTAATAAAAAATTCCGTAATAAAAAAATGTGTCCCGGTCCAAATAATGATTATATATCTCCGTATTTTAAAATAAAATAAAGTAAAAATAATAATTTAAAATTTAAAAAATTTAAAATAAAAATTAATAATAAGTATTAAATAAAAATTAATAAGGTTTTCTTACTTGTATTAGTCGAATCTGCTACTGAATTATCTGATTCAGAAGGAAAATAATCACGATCAGCATCTGAATCGTCAATTTCACTCAAATAACTAAAATCACTCAATTCATCACAAAAAAGTTCGTTAACTATTTCATCATCATTAATGCAATCATTGATACGCTGCCTCTTTGGCCTGCTCGAGCTAGCCATTTTGATAATTTCATTTACACAAAAATTAAAACAAACACAATTTGGAAAATAAAAGTATGTTGCCGTTTGGTCGCCGGCGGGCATATGGCGTCAGAAGTAAAATCATATTTTCACCACGCCACATGGTCGCCGGCGACCATACAAAGTTATAACAATATTTAAAATTAGAACTTATCGCTGATAATTTTACTCTTGGAATCAATTTAATAGCTACAGTAGAACCAAAGATATAAATACATACAAATTAGTAATAACTTGGGAAAACACACTTGGCGTATCAATAAATGACTGCCGAATGACCGCCGGCGGGCACACGGCGGCTAACGTGTTAATTGAATCGATCGACTTGACTTTGGATAAACGGCTAACATGGCAGCCCCATTATCATCCAAACTTCAACAGGCATATCAGCGCCTTTCTATGTTATACCCTATTCTCAATAAAAAATCTCTAATACTGAAAAAATGCTCTCTTCTAATATTTAAACAAATTCTTCATCCATTACTCACTTATGCGTGTCCGGTCTGGGGGAAATGCGCAACCACTCACATCAGTAAAATTCAAATTTATCAAAATAAAGTGCTACGTATTATTGCTAACGCACTTTGGTTCATAAGAAATGTAAACCTTCACAAAAACCTTCAGATCCAGAAAATTATAGACCACATAAAAACGGGTGACTGTAAGTTGCGTCTCAATATACCATTTTAATATAAATTACATTCCTGGTATTTTTATATTAAAATGTATATTACCAATTTACAAACAATATTTTCCTTCCTATTTTATCAAATTTAGGATTGTCAACATTACTGTTATAATGTTGGTATGGTTAAAAATATTTATTGTTGTATTTATTTATTATTATTTAAAACTGCATATTTTTATCGGTACTAAGCTGTTGAATTTTTCTTTGTCAATTATTAACTTATTCAGTATAAATTTTAAGTCTATATAAAAGTAGGTAAAAATTTGAATGACAATTGCTTCATAAATTCAAATTGAGTAATTTTTTTTTAGTTTCTAATTCTTCCATTTTTTTTTTTTTTTTTTAATATATCCTTTTTCAATTGTTATTCTATTTCTTGAGCCCTGACTTCGTAACGCTATATAAGTATCGATTTGTATATTTTTCAAAATATCTATAAAATTATAAATATTAGGGCGAGAGGAATTAAATGAACTATTTAATTTTCTATGGAAAGATTCATAATTGTTAGTCGTGCGTAATGTCGATGATAAATATTCTGACCATATTTCTGGTGGAATGTCAGCGTCATTTTTTATATATGAAAATAATATATATAGTCTGTGAATTCTAATACTCGAGCATCTTGCGGTTGTATTACCATAATGTCTTCGGTAAAACATTTTTCCTAACATCTTGTGGATTTAAGAAAGGAAGTCCAAAAAAGAGTTTTAAAATATTACTTATTTCTGTATCATTATTTTTTATAATCGGTACTAAGCCCCCAAATGTTGAATCTTTCTGTACCAACTTTGTCCTTGGTGGAATTTACACCCCTTTACTTGAATAGAAGGCGAGACAAAATTTGCAGCAGTATATATAGCCTTTTCAAAATCTCTACGTGCATTCGTATTGAACTAATACGTATTTGTCGTATATAATGTTACTACAGTAACATTTAGCAGATAGAGAACCGGATATACTCTTTTGATACGAGTCGTTATTACCTAGCCATTAATAAAAACATTATAAATGTCAGTTTTACGGATTTTCCGTCGGACGCAACTGATAGATACGACAGAAACACGGACCACAACTTACGTATGTACCTGAGAAATATCGGGCCGTAACTTACGTATGTTGTTATCGGAACTTTTTTTTTTGGGACGCAACTTACATTTATCGATAAAAACCTAATAAAAAAACTTCCACACCTCACTGCTCAATTCTTCTGGCTCACTTCACTATAAACTCCACGTATATCCGCCTCAGCGTAGATTATAACGTGAACGTCCACATGACCTTCTGGTTTAACAACTCCACACAATATACAGCAGCTGTTTGTTACTCGTAGCGTCTAACATGAAGGTTTATAATTTGTATACATTTTATCTGTTTATACTTTATTGTTAATTATTATTATATCAGTTTACTGTTACTTAAATTACAGTCAGTTACGTCTTGGCGTAACTATCACTAATATTAATGATCACTAATGTAAATACTTGATAGCAAATTTATCTTGCTATTTAAATTTCTATAAATTAATAATCATGTTTAAATTGTTAAAAATGTACGATTGTAAATATCAATAGATTTAGATAGCCAAGGCTAGGAAAGGGTAAAAATATGCAATGAAGGAAAAATTGAGAAAATCTTGTGGATTTAGGTATCCAATTATGCAAGTGGACATTCTCTGTTGATGAATAAGGAGAGCGTTAAGAAAGTTTTAACTCTTTAGTGTAAGAGAAATAAGAATTTTCCTTATCAAATTCTTCTCTATCTTTCCCTATTGGCTGTATTTCGTCTCTAACTGTCGCATTAAACACATACTTCAAAATGTCTCCTGTCTTTTTGCATGACATTTTTGATAAGTGTCTAATCTCACTGATTGTGGAACAATCCTTGAATCTCGCATTCAGAGTGCAGTCTCTCAGCTTGGCCCATGGAGAATCCGGTGATATATTAAAAGGTTCGTTTCTTAACACCGGGTTGATCTTGCCTAGGATAGTTTATTTGTAATCACCTTGAATTATTTCTGATGCTATCTATAGCCTGCAAGGAGGATTACAAATAATCTAAACTTCTCTGTCTCGTCAAGAGCCATCCCCTCTGTAGCCATCCAGTCAGAAGAAGAGTTACTGATAGATAACAGATTCACAGAAGTGATTATAGAACCAGCTCGCCCAGTAGCGTAACAAGGGTATGGTGAACTGTGCCTACGCCAGGGCCGCAAAATTGTGGAAAAGTAGTATTTTCATTCTAAAATCGAATCGAAATTTTTTCTGTTATAGTTTTTGAAATACGTAGATGCTATCTATTTGTAATACCTGTGAAATTAATGATAAAATTATGAAAATAGCACAAGGGCGTTTAAATAAAAAAATTCTTATGAAGGAATAAATTCATAAAGCGATATGACTTGGTCAAATGCTTACGTTTTCTATTCGGTGTGTTAACTTCTTCCAAATCTGAAGATGAAAAAGTGGCCGGAACAATATTAACGTCCGATTCTTGATTTTTTTCAATTTGTGATACGAGTATATATTGTTCATCACCATCGAAAGCTAATATTGAATCATATTCAATCTCATTTAACAGGATCCAGTCACTGCTACTATCTCCAAAAAAATCATCAGAACTTAATCATTTATTGGTTCTGAATAATTCTGTAAATTATTATTTACTAAAAAACGTTAATAATATTGTTACCGTGATGTAATCTATGAAACATATTTTATATGGTATTTGTATATATAAATGGAATGGTTTATCAAAATATAAACGATTTTCAAAAATGTATGTTTCACAAACACTTTTCTGTAATTAATTTAGAATATTATATTGCAGGCCTGTGCACAAGGGGGGGGGGTTTCTAACCCCTTAGAGGATCTTTTGACATACATTTTTACTAAGAATATACCAATTCCTTATGCTATAAAAGTTAAAATAACTTGAAAATGCATAGTTTTCTATTTTTGTTTTAAACAGTATCAACTTTCTTGATTTGACTTATTTTTTTTTGTTGAATTTTCGTGCCTTTTCCACTTACTGTCGATAATCTTTGTAAATGCAGCCATCGATAAAAGAACACATTTTTATAGTAATGTCAGTTGTTCAAGCTGTTCAGACGTTTGTTGACATTTATTGATTTTTGATCTTGATAGTTTTGAGAAGTCCAACGTGTATTTTTTTATTGAATTCATAACCTAAAATAACATTAAATTTCAATTGTAACAACCCCTAGTAACCAAAACTGATGATTATCAGGAGTGAAAGCAGGGAAGGTAAGGGTTCAAACCATGAGCGCATTTAGATTTACTTCTATTGGGTGGGAGGGGTGACTCCAATTTTTTCTTTAATTCATGCTCAACATTTATAAGTAAAATTGTTGGTAATATTTAAATCAGGCTAATCCTTAGTATTTATGGTTTTCTTTTAATTAATCTAATGCCGGATTCACTTAGAATCGAATTTTGTGTAGGTTAGTTAGTTACATTAGTTACATAGTAATTAGTTCTAGATCTTTTTTAACACCTGTCTGTGTTTTGAAAGTTAAGCTAGTGTTTTATTTCATTTTTCACTGAGTATGAACACTAAGGATGCGAATTCTAACGAAAATGTGTTCTGACGAGTACGTCCGAAATCCTCGTCAGAACACAAGATGGTTACACTGTGCGGGTTTTCTAATATTCTTACAGTCAGTACGTTTCTGCCACCCAACAAAGATAGACGAACTTGATAAATTTTATGTTCTCGAAAGTCCGTTAATGAAGTTATCATTGTTAAATGGTGGAAAAACAGAGCAAGTTAACCAGTTATTTTCTAGAAAAAACAAAAAAATATCTCTGTTTGGTAATTTTTTTCTCTCATGTCCCACAAACATTTGTTCTCGTACACGAGATTGATTAATTTATCGGAATCCATAATTCAAATAAATTAATATATTAATAAATTATATAATAATTGTAAAATATCAAATTTGCTAATCTCAATCACATCAAAATAGACGCAGTTCGCATGAAAAAATCAAAATTGTTTGAACGCTCAACTGTTTCTGACGATATCGTGTATGTTCTGACGTGATCGTCGCTGCTAATGTAAACACTCTCATTGGAAAATACGTGTTTGTTTATTTGGACGAATTCGTCAGAAATCGTCAGAAAACATTTTCGTCAGAATTCGTATCCATAGTAACCATAGCCTAAGTTTCGTTATGAAATGGTCCACATTAAATTAATTTGAAATGTGTATCTCACATATAATCGATTTCTTAAATACGGATTCAGGGGGGGGGGAATCGCCCCCTTCA